TTCTGTGACCTTGGCCCCACCCTCTCTGACTCACCATTTACTCCAATCAGATTGTTGTAGAAATTCTGACTAAGAGACCTTGTGGTCTAAGTTGTAAAAGAATAGAAATGTCACCATCTTTGTGTTAGCATAAGGCAAGTCACCGGGACAATGTAGATGTATGTGCTCGTTGACTGCTCTGAGGAGAGGAATGATTGAGAAATGTTTTGCCAGAGCAACGGCCACACACAGTAGCTCTAGAGAGGAAGCTTCTCACGGATCAGATGCTCCTTTTCATCTTCCTTTGAGGAAGTTGAGTGCTCAGCCCACTGGGGAACTATGTCATCTCTCACCGCGTGACGGACAGTGGCAGGTATGTGAAGGCCTGGCCGTTTGACCAAATGTGCAAGATTTCTGAGGGACCATTTTCTCTCCAGACCTCCCCTTGGGGTCTGTCATTAGACCTACTTCGCAACTCTACTTCTCATTGAATTTGATCCTACCTTTTTGCCACTCACTCACAAAGTGTCTGACCAGTGGGACTCCCTCAGAAATATCTTTTACACTAAAAAGGAAGAATGCAAATAGGGGGCTTAGGGTAAAACAAAGGCTAATCTGTTGCAGTCTAATAGATTTTGGCTCCTTGTGAGAAAAGTAGCACTGGATTTCATAGTTTCATGGCTGTAATCTTTACAGGAGTGATTGGAAGGCTTTTCTTTCTTGGTGCCCTTGGGAGCATTTGAACCATCAGCTCTCAGATACTTTTGTCACTAATACCATGAGTTGAACATGACTCAGTGACCCTGTAAACAGCATAGAGGAGCCCTGTTCTGTCCTGTTCCAGCCTCATGTTACCTGCCACCCTCAAGTCCACTGTTGTTGTCACTGTTCAGTCCACCTCCGCGAAGGCATTTCTCTGTTTTCCTGGACCTCTGTCTTACCCAGCATGTCTTGTTCAAATGACTGGCCTCTCATGACAATAGGCCCAGAGTCTATTAGACAGAGTTTAAACGGTCCTTGCCTACAAGGAACACCTTGGTGGTTGTACTTCCTCTAAGACAGATCTGTTCTTTTAGTCCATGATAGATTCATTTTCTTTCACAGCTCCATAATTCAAAGGCATGGATTCTACAGTCTTACTTATTCACTGTCCAAATTTCAGATGCATTTATGCAATTGAAAGTACTTTGGCTATGTTCAAGCACACCTTGGTCTTGAAAGTGGCATCTTCTACCCTGCAGCACTTTAAAGAGGTCTTTTCAGTTAAGTAGTCTTTTGCACCACCAGGCATCTGTTAAACAAAGACCAGATCACTGCTCTGCAGTCAGTTCTGACTTGTTGTGGTCCTCTGTCAGGTTTCGGGGACTATAAATCTTTACAGGAGAAGACCTAGCTGTAACTGGGAGATTACTGTATTCATCAGCTTGCCAGAGAGTCTTCATTTGTAAATGTTTACATTAATTATTATTTTGTGATAAATATTTTTTAAATAACCCACATAATGGAATAGAAAAATACTCTTAACTCTGAGCTGTACCAGTAGGAAGACTGGTTGTTTTGATCATTGGACCATAAACCACCCACCACTGCTCACTTGGGGGCTGTTTGCCTTAATTACAAGCAAAATATTTAGGCAGAAATAAACAAACATTCCTGTTAACTTATGATTCCAAACCTATAAAATTATATTCAGTATTTCACAGGATATCAAGATAACCTTATGATGGCAGCAGTTTGCAATATTAGGATATTTCTGACCATGTATGTTCTTTTTATTAATTATAATCTGTTCCTATGGCTATAGTGTGGTTGCAAAATATGTGCTGCATCAGTAGAGACATTACCTGAAGAGTTTGTATGCAGTACTTGCTAGCAAGGAGTACAGTGTTCCATAATATTCCTTCTGCCAAATTGTGTTAATCATGCTCAGATTATATAAGAATACTATGAAGTTAACTCAGGTCATGTCACAAATTATTCTTAATGTGGCACGTGTGTGGCTTCTGGATCTCAAACTAGGGAATGTTTCCAAATGACAGGAGTCCTTTGTGCAGCAGAACCCTGCTCAACGCTGCACCATCCTCACAAGCTCCTCTGTGTTTGAAATCACTCTTCTAGTCCTGTACTAATCCATCTCGAGAGTCCTTTTCTTTTCTCTGACTCGTTCTTTGCTCAACTTGATATCCTTTTGAGGGACTTGCCTTTCCTGATAACACACCCAAATGTAAAACAAATCCTGTAGGAAGCATCCTGAGCTCACGTCCTCTAAGACAGATTTGTTTGTTCTTTTGGCACACTCTGTATATTCAGTACTCTTCTGAGTACTTCAGTTGAAAGACATCAGTTATTCCTCAGTCTTCCTTATCTATCCAATGACCAACTTTCACATCATATGAAACAGAAGATACTTTGGCTTGGGGCAGGTGAACCTTAGTCTTTAAGTGGACCTCTTTCTTCTTCAGCACTTAAGAGGTCCTTGACCACACAGTTACCCAACACATACATCTTTTGATGTCCAAACTGCGGCTTCCATGGGTGGTGCTTGTGGATCCAAGTAAAATGAAACTGTTGACCACTTCCGCCTTTTCTATATTTATCATAATGGTGCCTCTTGGTACAGTTGTGAGGATTTTTGTGTTCTTGAATGGAGCATTTTATTAAAAGAGACAACAGGTTAAAGTTGTTTGATACCATTGAGTTGATTATAATTCTCAGTGACTCTATGACAGATGAATTGGAATCTTGCCCTGTCTTGTGCCTTCCTAGTAGCTCCTTTCTGGAGAACTAAAATGATGTTGATGAGGGAGCTCTCGTGGACTTGTGGCAAGAAGCTGCACTGCTGTCCCAGAGGAAACCGGTTCTTGTCCACCAGCTGTCTAGGGGAGAAGGATGGGCAGTCTCTTCCCTTGTGATTAACTGTTTCTGACAGCCAGCTAGAGGGTCAGCTCTGGGTTGGTTCCACCACGGTCATATACAACTACAGCCTGAGAAATGCCAAATAAAATGGTGTCGATAGTAGGCCTGTCTATGATGGGAAATTTGAAAGTGAAAAATGGGGAATATCTATCTAAATGGGATACAACTTCATTTAAAGAGTAAGCCATGATTGATCTGAAAACAAACTTCTCTGAGACTGGAAAGAAATGTTGAAAAGCATGTATGGTGAAATAATATTATTTTTATGGATGAAAAGTAACTATGGTGCAAAGTGTTGTGATTTTTGTATAAATGATTATTTTTATTTTTCCCTGTTGTCCATATGACTGACCCTTGTTCTATTTTCAAAATAATTGAAGTATAGGAAATAAGATGCTCTGCATTGTCTCCTAAAATTTTAAGCCATGTGTTTTTTTTAAAATGACAGTGTTCTATAAGTTGAAAGCCACCAGACAAATGAAAAGAACTGTTACTCTATTTATGATAAGAATGCTTTCAGAGGCCATTTCCTTTAACAAACGATGAGAATTAGTCAAGTATTCCTAATCACAGATACTAGCTTACTCTGATTATAACATAAAATATGTAACTGGCCAGTTGTCATTTTTTTGTGAAAAGCTAAAGTGATAATCTATCACCCTAAAATACTTTCTAGGGATGATTGAGAGGTTTTTTTTAGCAGTTTATATTTGAGAATGAGAACTTTTATATTGGAAATGTGAAACTGTAAATACCTAAAATGCACCTGCTGTCAAGTTGATTCTGACTCACATAACAACCTTCCATTAGTTTCTGAGGTGGGATGTGTTTATGGGAGGAGATTACCCCGTTCTCTCCTACAGAAAAGCCATTGCACTTTTAAAATTAGTTTCTATATTTCATAGTGTTTGACTGTATTAAAATAGAAGATCATATCCCTTTATTTTGAAAACTTGGGGCTAATAGAACTCTTCCCTCTTTTCCTTGGTGTAGTAATTAAAATTTTCTATTAAGGTTAGAACCATTTCATTTTCAGCATATAGGCTTTCTTTCTCCCATCTTAAGAGTTAGAAAGAAAAACCACAATATTGAATACAATATCAATATTATTAACTGAAAAAAAAAGCTTTATCTGTTGAGGACTTACTTAAAAAATAGAAATAATCTGAATACTTTTGTTTTCTTTTAGGTCTTCGGATAACTGTGCTTCTGACATCCTTCCTCATGGTTTTGGGAACTGGTCTGAGATGCATTCCTGTGTCAGACTTAATGCTTAAAAGAAGGTAAGTCCTATAAATAAGTTTCAAAATGTTTCCCATATTTTTTCTTTTGTTATGAGTTTAGTCCATGTGTGTCATTAAAGCCTTTACCAGCCAGTTTTATTTTTAAGAGATGATTAGAAGGGCCTTATTTAGAGAGGTGCTTTTTTCTCTGTGATGAGTCAGGAACATTTATGAGCTGTCATACACAAAACACCATAGTAACTGTTGTTGTAGAAATTAAATGGAACAGGTTCATCTGCATACTATACACGAGCTATAAGGTGGTTGTTGTTATATGCTGTCAAGTTGAGTACAACCCATCGTGACCCTGTGACCAACAGATCTGAGCACTGTCCTGTCCTGCACCATCCTTACACTTCCTAACACATTAGAGCCCATTGCTGCAGTCACTGTGTTAGTCCACCTGGGTGAGGGGCTTCCTCTCTTTTTCTGACCTTCCACCTTTCCAATCATGATGTCCCTCTCCAAGGAATAGCCTCTCCTAGCAACATGCCTGAAGCGTCTGAGCTATAACAGCTTTGGGGAAATAGTAATACAACATAAGGAAGAATATTATAGTTAATGCAATAAATGAAAATCCAAACCTGTTTCCGTTAAAGTTGATTGTGACTTGTAGCAACCCTGTGACTTTGCAACTTCTTGCACGGGCAAGAACTGCCCCATTGGGTTTGCAAGTCTGTAATCCCTGTACCCTCTTCACAGATAGGAAGTTAATTAGGGGAGTCAGTCATTTGTTCATTTCATCGCCATCGAGTTGGAACCCACTCAAAGCTGACCCTTAAGTGGGTTTTCCAAGGCTGCAAATTGCACAGGAGGAGGTTGCCCATCCTTTTCCCACAGAGCAGCTGGTGGATTCCAACTGCCTGCCTTTGGATTGGCAGTGCAGCTCCTTAGCCACTAGGTCCCCATCGCTAACTCATAAGGGAAGTAATACATGACCGTTTAGCTCAGGGACTCTCAGGATCGAGGTCTCCAGGCAGGACAGCTTCCTAGGCATCCTTGAGAGCAGACTTCCTTTTAACCTTCAGTCTTGGTGGACCCTGCCTCACAGGTCTGGTTCAGTGTTTGCAGTCTTTCAGTCTTTCCAATAGTGGTATCTTCCCTACCCCTCCACCAGCAAGCCTAGGCAAAAGCCCTCATAGACCCAAGAGGCAGCCGTTCTCAGCTCCCTCTCACATCAGTCTCTGATGTCCTGCAAATTCTGGATCTCCCGGTCCAATGTGGGTCTCTGTCTAGGCTAGGAATCTCTGGACAAAAGGACATGCTCACGCTCATCTTCTTTTTTCTTGATGGTAGTGAGATTCCCCTCAAGGTTATAATCTTGATGGCAGCAGTCTCCCACTTGTTCTTCCTGTGGAGGAACTAGAGGGTTAGAGTCACTGACCTTTCGTTTAGCACCTAAGTACTGACCAACTGCAGCACCAGAGCTCCTGAAGTTAATGCCATTAAGAGGTATAAAATTGCCCTAAAATCGAGAGAGAAATTTTGGCTAAGATTGTCAACAAGCAGAGTTCTTTCTTGAAGGAGATGGTAAGTATGCTGGGCATTGAAGGATGAGTGGGATTGTTAAGTATTGTCAGCTGACTCATAGCAACTCGGTATACAACAGAACGGAACCCTGCCCAATCCTGTGCCGTCTTCACCATACCTGCTGGGCTTAAACTCATTATTATAGTCACTTTGTCAGTGTTGTTGAGGGCTTTCCTCCTTTTGCTGACCTTCTGCTTTTCCAAGCAAGATGTGTTTCTCCAGAGACTGGCATCTCCTGAGACTGTGTCCAATGTATGTGAGACAAAGTCTTACTATTTTCTCTTCTAACATTCTGGCTGCTCTTCCTCCAAGACACTTTGGTTCTTTTCTAGTTGTCATAGAGTGGGGGACTGGTAGAAGTAAAAGGCATGGAAGTAGGCAAGTGCAAGCCTGTATTTGGGTGGGAAAGTAGTTTTGTGTACAGAAATATTTCCCCAACTAGGGTTCATGGATGAATTCTCCAGGCAGCATGAGATATATAAATATTTTAAATTTTTATTATATTAAAACAATTTTATCAGTTGCAAAAAAATCCCCCAATTTTATGCAATTAAAACATATTTTTTAACCAACTCATCAGTTATTAAATTAGTGGTTTTTAACTGGAGTCCTTAAGTACAATGTTGAGGTTCAACTTTTCCTCTTTAAACAGAACCCACAAATTACTCAAGTTCAAAAAACATGGGTCTGTAGAAGATACAAGCACTGAATATAGTGATGGGTGAGAAGAAGGTTCCTTGGTAATAAATGGTCGTGATCCCATCCTGAGGAATTGGATGTTCCTTACGAGGGAGCTGGGAGCCACCTCGGTTTTAATGAAAGCAACAATAGAATCAGACAGAAAAGTGTGGATAAACTACTTGTGGGTGGTATGTAGACTTGATTACAGTGGGTAGAGATAACTGACAGAAGACCAGGAAAGATGCAAAGAGAACAAGCTAGAATTGTTCTTGTTTTAGTTTCAATTTGTTTTCATTCATTTAAAAAAAATATTGCTGAGCTTATACCGTGGACCTAATCCAGGCCATGATCTTCAGCAGTTATTTGCTATACATCAGAGAGCTGAATAGTGACTAAGCGTGACAGAAGAAGACTCGATGCTTTCTAATTGTGGTGCTGGAGAAGAGCCTTGAACATACCATGGACCACAAGGAAAACAAATAGGTCTGTCTTGGAGAAGTTGAAACTAAGTCTCTCCTTGGAGGGCAGGATTTTGAAGCTCTGTCTCACATACTTTGGGCAGGTGGCCAGGAGGGACCAGTCCTTGGAGAAGGATATCATGCTTGGAAGAATGGAGGACAATGCAGGAGAGGAAGATAAAATGGATTGGTACAGTGACAGGGGCTGTGGGGGTTAGTGTGGTGGAATTTGTGAGACAGGCTCAGGACAGGGCAGGCTTCAGAGCTGCTGTATATAAGGTTGCTATGGGTCACAGGCGACTCAACGGCACATAACAACCACATACTGTGGGCCAAGTTCTCTTCTGAGTGTTGAGAATACAGCAAATAAAATTTCCTATCTCTTAGTGTTTATCAAGTCTTATTGTGATCAAGTTGACTACAACTCATAGCAACTCCTGTCATAGTGGCCTAGTGGTAAGAAACTAGAAACTGTACTGCAATCCCAAAGGGACACGCTCCAAGTCCACCAGATGTTCCACAGGAGGAAGATGGGTCTCCTTCTATGCAGTTTACTGCCTTTGAAAACCTGCCAGACATACAGCTATGGATTGATACACAACAATAACTTAGTGTTTACATTCTGATTAGGGAAACTGATAGTAAACCAGATAAATAAATAAATGAATGAATGAATGGTATAGTATGTTAATCTTTGGGCAGTAAATAAAGAAAAAAGACCAAAGAAGAATTGATACATATGAATTATGCTGATGTTGTACTTGTGCCAGCAAATTGACTACAACTCATAGTGACAAGGACCCTGTGAACAAGATAGTGACAAGGACCCTGTGAACAAGGTCGGTGAACACTGCCCTATCTTGTGCCATCTTCATCAGCTCTGATACATGTAAGCCCATTGTTATAATCACTGTGTCAGTCTGTCTTGTTGTGATTCTTCCTCTTTTACGCTGACCCACCACCTTTCCAAGCATCATGTCTTTTTCTGAGGACTCGCCCCTCCTAACAATATGCCCAAATTATGTGAGGTGAAGCTTCATCATCGTTGCCTCTAAGGAGCACTCTGGGTGAACTTTTCCAAGACATTTGTTTGTTCTTTTGGCAGTCTGTGAAATATTCAGTCTTTTTCTCCAACATAACTCAAAAACACTGGTTCTTCTTTTGTCATCATTAGTCACTGACAAGCTTTCAGATGCGTAGCAAGTAATTGGAAAGTCTATGGCTTGGATCAGGTGTACCTTGGCTTTTAAACTGACATGATTGTTCTTCAGCATTCTAGAGAGGTCTCTGACAGCCAGTTATCCCCATATAACACATATTTTTCTTTCCTGACTGCTGGTACCAAGGGTGTTGATAGTGGATCCAGATAAGGAAAAAATTGTTGACAGTGTCTATCTTCTTTCCATCTATCAGGATGTTGCCTAGTGGTGAGGCCCAGTGGTGAGGGTTTTTATCTTCTTTGTGTTGAAATGTAATCCATATTGAAAGCTGTTGTAAAAAGAGCAAGGGCCCTGACAGCAGATTTTCCCAGTGCAGTTTGTCTTTTGATTACCTGACTGCTGGTGCCAAGAGTGTTGATTGTGGAACCAAGTAAGCTGAAGTTATCAACAACCTCAGTTTCTTTCCATCCATAATGAAGCTGCCAGTTGCCCAGTGGTGAGAATCTTTGTTTTCTTAATGTTGAGTTTCTATCCGTATTGAAGACTGTAGTCTTTGACCTTTTGCAGCAAATACCTGTTGTCCTTTTCAATTTCAGCAAGCAAGGTTGTGTCATCTGCATAATGCAGGTTGTTGATGAGTCTTCCTCCAATCCTGAGACCACATGCAAAGTTATTTGGAAACGAAAAAGACTCCAAATAAGCAAAGCACTTCTGAAAAAACAAAAGTGAAGTGGAAAGTATAGTACTCCCTCAGCACGAAACTTACTACAGTGGTAATAACCAAAACAGCATTGTACTGGTACAGTAACAGACACATAGACCAATGAAACAGAATTGAGAACCCAGAAATTACCCATATACCAACAGTTAACTAGTATTTGACAAAGCAGCAAACTAAACAAATGGGAAAACAACAACCTTTTCAACAGATGGTGCTGGCAAAACTGAACTGTACCTGCGAAAAGCTGAAGTAGGATCCACATCTCACACCATACACAAAAATCAACTCAAGGTGGATCAGAGACCTGGGAGTGAAGCCCAAAGCCATAAAGATGTTGGGGAGGATATAGAGAGATTGGAACTCTCATGCACTGCTGGCGAGATTATAAAATGGTACTCTGGAAGGCAGTTTGGTATTTTCTCTAAAACTGAACATTAAGAATAAAAAAAA